TTTACCAAAATCAGTTTGGTTTCCTACCCTGAAATCCATGTTTTTACTAAAACCGGCCTGGTTTCCTACCCTGAAATCCATGTTTTTACCAACATTGGCCTGATTTCCTACCAAAATCACACTGGTTTCCTACCCTGAAATCCATGTTTTTACCAAAATCAAGCTGGTTTCCTACCCTGAAATCCGTGTTTTTACCAAAATGGGGCTGGTTTCCCACCCTGAAATCTGTGTTTTTACCAAAATCAGCCTGGTTTCCTACCCTGAAATCCATGTTTTTATCAAAATGGGGCTGGTTTCCTACCCTGAAATCTGTGTTTTTACCAAAATCAGGCTGGTTTTCCCCCAAGCGCGACGTATTCGGTGCTTCAGCAGCCCTTTTCCCCCTCAGGTTTTGGGGTCTCCTCTCTCTTTTGGGGATCTCCTCAATTCCCAAGCAACCCCCCCCCCCCCACCCGTCTCTTTTCCCCTTGGTTTCCATCCCCCCCAATCCCAGGATTCCCCCCCAAATCCCATTTTCCCCCCAGTCCCTCACCACAGCTCTGTTTTCCCTTGGGATCCAATCCACCCCAATCCCAGGATTCCCCCCCAAATCCCAGATTTCCCCCCAAATTCCATTTCCCCCCCAGTCCCAGATCCCCCCTAATCCCAGGATTTCCCCCCAAAATCCCACTTTCCCCCAAATCCCCTCACCACAGGTCTGTTTTCCCTTGGGATCCAATCCCCCCAAATCCCATTTCCCCCCCAGTCCCTCACCACAGCTCTGTTTTCCCTCAGGATCCAACCCCCCAGTCCCAGATCCCCCCAAATCCCAGGATTTCCCCCCAAATCCCAGGATTTCCCCCCAAATCCCATTTTTCCCTCACCACAGGTCTGTTTTTCCTTGGGATCCGGGGTCACCGACTTCCTCCTTTTCCGTTGGTTCCCGAGGAGGCTCCGGGCCCGGCCCGGGCGCTTCGGGCCCAGCTGGGGCCCCCCCGGGGGGCAGCACAGCGAGGGGTGGGGGGCAGGCACTGGGGGCACACAGGGGGGTCAGGGCACCCCAAATATACCCCCCATTACAGGGAGATCCCAAATCTCACCCCCCATTACAGAGAGATCCCAAATGTCATCCCCCATTACAGGGGATCCCAAATCTCATCCCCTGTTAAAGGAGAATCCCAAACAGCCCCCCATTACAGGGGGACCCCAAATCTCATCCCCCATTACAGGGAGATCCCAAATCTCAGCCCCCATTACAGAGGACCCCAAATCTCACCCCCATTACAGGGAATCCCAAATCTCCTCCCCCATTACAGGGAGACCCCAAATCTCACCCCCTGCTAGAGGAGGATCCCAAATCTCATCCCCCATTACAGGGGATCCCAAATCTCATCCCCTGTTAGAGGAGGACCCCAAATGTCATCCCCCATTACAGGGAATCCCAAATCTCACCCCCCCCATTACAGGGAGATCCCAAATGTCATCCCCCATTACAGGGGACCCCAAATCTCAGCCCCCATTACAGGGGGACCCCAAATCTCAGCCGCATTACAGAGAGACCCCAAATCTCACCCCTGTTAGAGGAGGATCCCAAATCTCACCCCCCCATTACAGGGAGACCCCAAATCTCAGCCCCCATTACAGGGAATCCCAAATCTCACCCCCCATTACAGGGGACCCCAAATCTCACCCCTGCTACAAGGAGACCCCAAATCTCATCCCCCATTACAGGGCACCCCAAATATACCCCCCATTACAGGGGGACCCCAAATCTC